ACTATTATTATATGATTAAATATATTATTTAGTTTTTTATTTATTAGAAATATATTTTTTAAATAATAAAATTATTTATAGTTAATAATTATAATATATTATCATTATATTTTACAAAACATATCAAATAATTATTATAAAATAGTTATTTGTTTTTTGATTGTGAATATTGTATTTATTATACAATATAATATTTTGTTATTATTTTGAATTATGATAAAAATAATATATTAATATATTATTTTATGAATTTTAATATATATAAAAATTGATAAGTATTTTAGTAATATAATAAACTTGATAATTATACCATATAATTAAATTAATATTACATTGTATTAGTTAAATATTATTTTAAATATATTGGTATAATAATATAATATTTATTAATAAATGATTTATTTAAATATCAGATGACAATTCTTCTCCTTCTATATAAATAATTTATTTTTATATTTTTTATCATGAAATTAGGTGTGAAAAAATATATAAAAAAGATCATTATTTTTTTTATTTTACTTATAGTTTGATGATAGTAATAGAATATATATGATATTTTTTAAAATTTTAGTTTGAACATTTATATGTGATTATATTATTTTTATTATTTAAAATTTATTTCTTCAGTTGTTTGTTTCTTATTAAAATTCCCATCAAATTGATTTTTAAATTTTATATGATTTTATTTGTTAGTAAATTTGATTTTTTTCATATATGGCTTTTGAAATAAAATTTTAGAACCTAATTGTTTTATTTTTTAAAAATATATTATTATAATTTATATGATTGATTATTTTTATGATTTTTCAATGAAAATGATGTTGTTTCATATATAAATTCTGATGAAAAAGAAAAAGAGCTAAAAATGTGTTTCGGGTATTATAATTATTCTAAAATAAATAAATAAAAGAACTAGGGTTTTTCATTTTCATTTATTGTAGCGTTTTATTTATTTATTTATTTATTTTTAGTGCTGGCTCGGCTCATTTCCTTGTTGTTTTTTTTTTTAATTTTATTTAAAGGGCTGGCCTAGAGAAGCATTTTTTGTTTTTGTTTTGTTTTTATAGGACTAGCCTTGAGAAGCGGGCTCAAACAAGCTAGCACAAGCGAGTCCAAACCGAGTGTTTGCCTTCTTCGTTTTTCTTCTAATAATTTATTTTTATATATATTTTTAATGAAATTAGGTGTGAAAAATATAAAAAAGATCATTATTTTTTTTTAGTTTTATATACAGCTTTATGATAATAAAAAATATATAATATTGTTAAAAATTTTAGTCTATATATATATATATATATATATATATATATATATATATATATATATATATATATCTGATTATATTATTTTTATTATTTAAAATTTATTTCTTTAATTGTTTTTTCTTATTAAAATTCTCATCGAATTATTTTTTTAATTTTATATAATTTTAGTTAATAAATTTGATTTTTTATATATGGATTTTGAAATAAAATTTTAGAACTTGATTTTTTTATTTTTAAAAATATATTATTATAATTTATATGATTGATTATTTTATAATTTTTAAATGAGAGTAGTGTAATTGCATATATAAATTCGATGAGAGAGAGAGAGCTAAAACTCTGTTTTAGATACTTTTAATTAATTTTTTTAAATACTAATTAATTAAAAAATTAATTTGACTCAATTTTTTTGTAAAAAAATTATTAATTAGTTAAAAAAATTCACAGAGTTATATTATAAAGAAAATTAAAAGAACTGGGTATTTGAATAGTGGCTATTGTTCCTTTACTCGTAGATTATAATTTTTTAACATTTTGATCCTTGATATTTTTAAAAGATGAGTTTTTCTATAGTGATTTCATGCTATTAAATAATTGGAGGAGGTAGATCGAAGCAAAAAAAGAAGAAAAAAATATGATTTGATCATGTATTTTCTTTTTGTTTTGATGTGCATTAAAATCATTTTTAAGATTTTAAAAGTAATTTTTGACTTTATTTTAGTCATTTAGAGTGTTTGGGGGAAAAAAATGCCGAATTGAGTTTCTTGAAGTCCGAAACTAGACCCGTGAATTTTTGACGAAGATTTTGACTACTTAGAGTTCGTTGGAAGTTGCAGATTTTTTTTTTTTTTTGGTTGAATAGCGACCGAGGCCTAGAGAGTAGGCGCAAACGGCTCAAGCTTGGGCCCAAGCAACCTTGCCTTGGCTCACAAGCCTAAGCACACCGGCCGCATAGGCCAACTAGGAACGACCTTGCAATTTTTTTCTTTCTATAATTTATTTTATATTTTTAAAAGTCTAGCCACAAATCTTATGATAGAATAAAAAAAAAGTTGGTTAATTATTTTAAATCTTGATGTGTTTTATGATTGCATCACCAAAAGGCAAAAAGAAATCCTTAAAATAATATACATATTGCCATAACATAACAAGACCTCCAAGCAAATGCTATACAAGTTAAGCGATCATATATAATTGGTCCATTCATCGGGAAAACATATACATTATCGATTCCATTTAATGTCCTTGAATCAATATTAATTTATTTCTTCAATTATTTGTTTCTTATTAAAATTCTCATTAAATTAATTTTTTGATATAATTTTAATTGTTGATAAGTTTGGTTTTTTAATATAATAATTTTGGAATAAAATTTTAGAACTTCAATGTTTTATTTTTTAAAATATATTATTATAATTTATGCAATAAATTATTTTTATATTTTTAAATGAGTTATATATATATATATATATATATATATAGAGAGAGAGAGAGAGAGAGAGAGAGAGAGAGAGAGAGAGCTAAAAGTATGTTTTAGATATTTTGACTCAATTTAAAAAAATAATAATGATGAGTTAAAAAAAATCATAAGTTTTATATGCTTTTTTATATATATATATTTTTAGAATTTATCGAATCAATTTTGTTGTATTTTTTATTTTAATCTATTGACTTCAATATATTTCTATAGTTTAGGTGGGTTTTTTTTTGTATGTTTTTTTATTTATTCTATACAATCTTAATTATATATGTCATTAGTTTTATCGAAATTAACTATATATAGATTCGATTTATATTAATTACTACGAATAAAACTTTCTACTCCCATTACACCATTCAAATCATTAACTCTATGTATATAACGATTATACGCTCGCGAGTAGCGTAGGTATCCAACTAGTAACTACTATAAGTGATTGACTCTTAAATCAAAACAAAAGAACACGTGGTTGGCTTTTAAATCAAAACGAGAAAAACCTATGGTATTTCATTTATTTAAACTCATCACATTTTTATTCTTTACGCATCAATCAATTATTAAAATTATTTGTTTTTTTAAAGTGCTTATTTTTTTTTATGATGTGAGTCATTGTGGAGTTGAGTAATAAATATATTAAAAAATAATTGTTCTATTTATTTCAAAGTTGATGGTAAGAATCATAACATGTAAAACCAACTTTTTATGAATTGGATCCTTTTAAGTATTTTAATATTAAGTATAAAAGTATAGTTCAAACTAATTGAGATGGTAGAGATAAAAAAATGGAGTGTATTGCATAAATTCTTTCATGACACTTAAATAGCTAAATTATATCATTTTTTTGTCACTCATTCATCTCAAACAAATAGTTGAAGGCTAGAATTTGAGATGCTAAAAAACTTGTATTATTAAAGAATTGGTGAAAATTGAATTTAAAAAAAAATTAAGAAAATAAAATATTAGTACTTATTTAGTTATGCGATATTACTAATATTAGTAAAGTAACATGTCTTGATAAATTTTCGTGAAGTTATTTGTTAATAACATATGATAATATTAATAGATTTTTTTCTTTGCGGATCTTGATTGGTAGTTCTATCCTCCGAGAATTCAAATTTATAAATTTTCATTTTGCTACCATATGAACAAAAAAAATATATATATATATATATATATTTATTATTATTTTATTAAATTTACTTTTATCATATTTTCTACCTAGTTCAAGACAGATGTTTACCTAGTTCAAGATAAATTTTTATTAGGATTATTTCATTGTGTATTTTTAAATTATGTAGCATTTTGAATTTTTTTAAAAAATTGATAGATTGAATAATATCCTTAATATACTTTATTATACTTACGAGTTGTTGAAATATATTTTATATTCAAGTAATATATTAAACATAATAAGCATAATTTTTTAACAAAAATGAAGCAATAAATCCGATAGAATTTTGAATTTTATTCGCATCCGTTAAGATCCGGATTCATATTTTCAAATCGTGATCCGAACTCATAAGATTCAATTCGATATGTTTCATTAAACATCAAATCTAAATCTATTATGATTTGATCCGAATATGATCTGTTGAAAATCTTATTTTTTGGATACATTTCCACAAACAATTTTTTTTTTCCTTTATCAGTCAAACCTTAGAGGTGCTGGAATGTCTAATATTTTATGAAAATGATTTACATATTAAAAACAAAATAACTAAAAATTGTCGATCAATAAAGCTAGAGGACATCTGTCATGCAATTAGAAGAATACCATTTCTTTAATGATAAAAGAATTGACATTAAGCAAATAATCGAGGTACAAGAACTGGATTAATTTTTAAATTGATAAAAATATCTGATTAAATAATTTATTATAATACAGAAATAATACGGATAGTTAACCCCATATTATATAAATCATTCCTTTGGCATACAGTTATACATGAATTTTGGTAGGTTTTAAAAGTTATTATTTCCTTATTATAAAAAATAAAATAAACTATGATATCATGAATTTTGGTTCGTGTATGTTTGTTTAATTACGTATCGTCGAAGTTGTTTTGCTACATGGAAACTCTTGCAAGTTGCCACACGTCACGCATCAACGACAAGTTGTCAATTGATAATTCTACTCAACGACAAGTTGTCCACTGATAATTCTAGTGGTACTGCTATATATCTCTCCTCTCTCTATGGCCAAAATAATTAAACAGAAGTCCTTGGGAAACTTGAAGCTGAGAAATGTGGGAAACATGAGATTAGTACTTCGGAGAGTTTCATCACTTGCATCATTTGCTAAGCGAGATTCAAAAATCCCTCAAACTATTCAATTATTTTTGCCAATTCCATGCAAATCCCAACACTCCTTTTCTACCTCTTCTTCAAATCCTCTCCTTACAACATTGCTTCAAACACCAACCTCCAAGCTCAAAGCTACACTTGATTCAGACCAAAGTTTTCACCTTAAAAGTTCTCAACTTTCATGGGATGATCTTATTATTAATCTCAGATCTTTCTCTCCCGAGAAAGCCCACTTGGTAATTACTATCATTTTCTCTTTAAGTTTTTTTTTTCTTTTTGATAAAATGTAAGAAATGAAAGTTACAAAAGAAAAAAGTGGAAACAGAAACATGGGTTTTTCTTGATTTGTGTTTTAAGTGGAGAAAAGTGGGTAATTTTGTCCTTTTGTTGGGTAATATAGCAAGTTCCAGAGGCAGTAAAGACTAAAGATTAGTGAAATACAAAAAAGTTTGTTTATATATATATATATATATATATATATATATATAAATGAAGCTTGATTAGATGATTAAGTATTATAATTTTAATTTGTCATTGAAATTTTGACTTCTAAAGAATTTGTTTTGGGAAGAATTTCAATATTTGGTTCTTATTGGAATGGCTTTTAGAATTATTATTTGTAAAGTTTAGCTTCTTACAGAACTGAAAGTTGAGTTGAGTTTCTAACGGTTATAAAGTTCTGATTTTTGCTCAATTTCTTTAGTAGATAAATTAAACTTCTTTGCCAAATTGCTTATTTTTACGTTTTGTTTGCTTAATCAGGTTTTAGAATGGAGATTGGGAAGAAAGCTTAATGATAACGAGATAGATCATGATGAATGCTCCAGTTTAATATCTCTTTGTGGAAAGATTCAAAATGTGCCGCTTGCAATGCATGTGTTTGCTTCTATGGAAGCTCGTGGAATTAACCCCACAACTTCTGTTTTCAATTCACTTTTACATGCTTGCTTGTTATCCGGCAATGTGATAACAGCTCTTAGCTTATTTGAGATAATGGAGAATTCTGAGAGTTATAAGCCTAATTCCAACACTTACGACAATTTTGTTGCAGGGTTTTCGAATTTAAGAGATGTTAATAAAATGCAAGCTTGGTTTGTGGGGAAAAGGGCTGCTGGTTTCTCTGCTAATTTGCACAACTATGAATGTCTTGTTTCTGGTTGTGTTAAGGCGAGATATTTTGATACTGCTGATAGACTATATGAAGAGATGATGTCATCGGGAATTATGCCTAGTTTACACATAATGGAATGGGTGCTGGAAGGGCTTTGCAAACGGGGAAGCTGTGATCGAGTAAAAGAGTTTTTGAAATTTTTGCTGGAATGTGAGTTTGAGATCAATGGGAATATGATTGAAAATGTTGTCAGGCTGTATTCTGAGCTTGGAAAAGTGGATGAAATGGAGATTCTACTTGAAATGTTAATGGAGTTCAATAAAGGTGGCGAAGCTTTATTGCCGCTGCACTGTGGGATTATAAGATTCTATGCCATGTTAGATAGATTGGATGATGTTGAATTCTCTGTTGGGAGAATGATGAGTCAAGGGATAGTATTTAAAAGTCCAAGTGATGTTGAGAAGGTTATCTCTTCCTACTTCAGGCAGGGGGCTTATGACAGGCTAGACTTGTTTCTGGAACATATTAAGAGCTACCATAAGCTTACTAGGTCAAATTATGATTTGTTAGTTGCTGGGTACCGAAGAGCTGGATTGATGGAGAAATTGGATTTAGTGATGGAGGATATGAAATTGGCAGGATTATAGCATCTTGGCTTTTGAAGCTAAGCTCTAACAAATCATATGCTTACATGGGCTCTGTTGCCTATTGAATCAAGAAGTCTACGTAGCACTGAACTTTCAAGGGTTGAATTTGCCGAAACAGGTTTACAAGAGGTTATTTTGAGGATACGTTGTTGGCATATTTGATCCCTAATAGGTTGACATTTATCAATTCCTCAGGTGGAGGGGAGTAAGCTGCCTTTCTTTTTCTGAAGATAGAAGTTCAGTAGCCTTCAGGAGAAACCTGAGTAGCTCGGTGAATCCCATTTATGTCCTTGCACTCACTGGATTCAAAGATATTATCAGATAACATCTGCAAAACCTTTTCGTTGAAGACCAGGTGTTTCTTTACAGATTAATGGTTGTATTCCCTGCTTCAGCTGACATTTTAATAGGGAACTCTCTGCCAAGTGTGGTTGTCTGAGAAGAATTTAATCATGATTGCTTGAATTTATTATGTTCACAGTTTGATATTACACCAATTAAATGACAATGGTTATCCAAAAAAGAATGGTACTTCCCCGTTCCCGTTGTCTAGCATCTTATTCATGTGAACTAGGGTTCGAGTGGGGCATGACCTTGACCATACGCAAAAGACAACGAGTCATATGGTCACAAGCTGCCGAGTCATAATACACTACAAAAGCACCAAATTATTATATTTTACGCAAAAAACTTCTAGCCCCGTAGTGGCTAGGACCATTACAGAGATCAGACCGTCTCTTGTCCTGTGTTAACTCTTGTTTTGTTTGATAGGTGTTGGAGTTTGTGACGGAAACTAACTGCTACCTCATTTGCTGCTCATAAATTAGTCGTTCACGAGCAGGATTCTAACTGGAGCTGTCAGTATAATAACAAAACTGAACAACATCTCTCCTCTTAACCATTTGATCAGAGAAATTCACCGCAAAAAGGAATCCAGCTATGAATTCCACTAACTGAATTGTGGGTGGATTGATCTACTTGATTGCATGCTGTGCGCTAAAAGAAAGTCCACTAACATTCCACAAGGATAACATTCTATCATGTCATCAACACCATTCGTGTCTCCGGCGCCGGTGGAATCTCCGGCAGCTACTTTCCAGCCACTTCCACCATCACAACCACCAGTAGTGATGGATAATACTACTACAGCACCAATGCCACAAATAGCACCATTTGCTTCCCCACCATATCCACCAGCTCCTGTCGCGATGTTGCTGCCACCAGCAATACCACCTGTTTCCGATCCACCAACCCCTCCGGTGACTCCTGTGACTCCAGTAACATCTCCACCACGGATTACGATTCCGATTTTATCACCTCCAGTTGTCTCACCCCCGCCACCGGTGGAGCTAGCTCCACCACCTGAGGCTACTACCAATCCTATAATTCCAGTACTTCCTCCTACATTGCTTCCTGAGCCTCCAATACCATCAGTTACTTCTCCACCACCTTTGCCAATGATGCCATCACTACCCCAACCACCGCTACCTTCTCTTCCTCTGCCAACAATTTCTCCATCTCAGCCACCATCAACTTCTTGGCCACCTCCAGCTCCCCTTCCTTTGACAGCTCCATCTCCACCAAAAGCTACTCCTCCAGCTCCGGCTACACGTTCACCCATTATGCCTCCTCCGACAGGGCCTAGTTACCCACCAGCACCACCATCATTCTCATTGACGCCACCTCCACCACCACCGCCACCACCCACATCTATGGTATCTTCACCACCATCACTCCCGTTAGCAAAAGGGAGCCTGCCCATGAGCTCAAAACAGTTTAATATATCAACAGGACTCATTGTTGCATTTTTCATTGGTGGGGTCTTTATACTACTTGTTCTTGGCCTTTTATGTATCTGTTGCAAAGATAAGAGAAGGAAAAACCACAGCACCAAAGAACCTTACAATACATCAATAATCTTGGCACCAAAAGGTAAAGATTTAAGATTTGGCTAACCAATACCTTACTATCAGCCCCTTTTCTTCCTTGAAATTAATTTTCAGAATCAATGGAAATGCAAAAATTCATGACGTTTCCAAATTCCAACTTATAGCACGAGTACTTTAGAGGGCATATGATCTGATTTATTAACGAGTCCATTGGCTTGCATTGCTAGATACCAATAAAGATATTCAGGCCCACCCTTCTGAAATGAAGTGTTTTCAGTCAGGGGAATGTGTTATCACTGTGCAAACGAAGAACTTTCTGCCACCTCCTTCAACCAGCAACATACGTTCTCGTTCTACGAATTCCCCAGGGGCTGTGGATGCATTGCCACCTCAAGCTCCTCATGATGTCGCCTTTAGTTTGTTGAAGGGAACTTGCACATATGATGAACTAGTGGTTGCCACTAATGGATTCTCAGACGCCAACCTTCTAGGACAAGGTGGTTTTGGCTATGTGCACAAGGGGTTCCTTCCTTGTGGGAAAGAAATTGCAGTTAAGCAGCTAAAGGAAGGAAGTACTCAGGGCGAGCGCGAGTTTCAGGCAGAGGTTGAGATCATTAGCCGGGTGCACCATAAACATCTTGTTTCTTTGGTGGGATATTGCATTAATGGCTCTGCTAGACTGCTTGTTTATGAGTTTGTTCCAAACAATACCCTTGAGTTTCACTTACACGGTAAGTTTTCAGTCTAATGAGCATTTTCGTTGTTTGATGTTCATGTAAGCTACTTCAATAAGTTACAGCCAGGCAATTACTGCTAAATTTATAAGCATTCCCAACTTTGTTTTTGAAATGCTTTATCATTATTAAGAAGAATCGGATTTTGCAGGCACTGGACAGCCTGTAATGGAGTGGGAAACCAGATTGAAAATTGCTATAGGGTCTGCAAAAGGCCTAGCGTATCTGCATGAAGATTGTGAGTTTTCTTGTCTCTTCTCCTGTTCTCCCTCAACCCCATCGCCCTGACTTTGCCTTAGAAATTTTTTCTATATTTGATAGCCTTATCTTCGAAGGAATAGATTGGAGTAGGAGATAGTAAAAAGGGCATTACCAGAGTTTCTAGGTGTTTAAGAATGATGCCCTTTTTTTCTGAATTAACAGTGAGAAGTTATCTCACGGTAAAATATTTTGATTTCTCTAAAATTTTTGTTTTTTCTGTAAAGATGATACTTCTCCATAAGAGTTTCATTGGGATTCAATAAAGGTTTGATTGCAATGTCAACCCCCATATAGTCTCTTTATTGTCCAAAAATCAATAATTTGAACATCCATTCTCTAATGAAATATTCTTGAATGCAGGTCATCCAAAAATCATTCATCGGGATATTAAGGCACCCAACATTCTCCTTGATCACAATTTTGAGGCAAAGGTAGGACATGCAGTTCTTATTCCATCATGTTTTTGGTTCATACATAGCTTTCAAGCTGACCTATGAACTATTCTATGTTACTACTTTATTATTATTATTATTATTATTATACTTCATTAAACATCTCATCTCATGGGCACTTGGGGTTTCAGACAACCTCTGATTAAGTGATCCCACTTGTTTTATATTTCTAGATTAATAATTTGGTTCTGGTCCTATTATGTTATGTTTCATAGGGTAAGAAATGATAAAGAGTCTTCCTGCACATACTAATAGATTGATGTTATCATATTATGTTCAGGTTTCTGACTTTGGACTTGCCAAAAGTTTTTCTGATGCCAGTACTAGCGGTACTCACATTTCCACCAGAGTGGTGGGGACTTTCGGGTAAGGCCATGTCTTCTTTCCAGCTATTTTTGTTTGTTTGGACGAATTTTGGCAATTTTCTTTGCATTTTCTATGTGATTTTTGTTTATTATCAGTTAAGCTGGCTTCTGCTTACTAAACCCTGCATTTTCTTCCTCCACCTCAACACACATGCTTTCTATGGTTTCAGCTACATGGCTCCAGAGTATGCATTAAGTGGCAAGCTGACAGATAAATCTGACGTCTATTCCTATGGAGTTGTGCTTCTGGAGCTTATAACTGGGCATCCACCTATCAGTTCTGCAGAATCAGTAATGAATGAAAGCTTGGTTGCCTGGGTGAGTTCTCTTCTACATAGCTTTTGAATCTACTTTTCAATTTCTAGGCATTGCCCGTTGGTTTATGTATGCTTGGCTCCAAAGTCACCTTGTCGAAACTCCCTCCCTTTATACTGCCATTACAGGCTAGGCCTTTACTCACTCAAGCTCTGGAAGATGGCAATTTTGAAGCTCTAGTCGATCCACGACTGGGGACTAAGTATAATGACAGTGAGATGGCTAGCATGGTTGCATGTGCTGCTGCTTGTGTGCACTCTTCATCCTGGATCCGACCACGAATGAGCCAGGTAACTGTTTTTTGCTTATCCTGTTCAACATAAGAATTACCTCTCGCCAGTCAGTAACGTAAGTTAGAGCATAAATGCCTTCCTCGAGAGTCAAGAAGCAACAGGAAATCGAACGAAAAAAAACTGGTCATCGGTGACTTTTCATTAAACAATTGTTCTTTACATGGTATGCCAAACTTTATTGAGCTGTGTTTCTGTCCTCATGGATAGTTGGATGCGAAAAGAATATGAAAAACATTGCTGCGATGCTTCCAAAAATCTTTAAAAAATGTTGTTTCAAATCAAACAGATAGTTCATGCTTTGGAAGGCGGAATGTCTGCACAGGACCTCAATGCAGGAATATTCAGGCCAAGACATAGCACACTATATGGTTCTTCAAGAAGTTCTAGTTCCAATTCCTATCAATACGAAGAGAACATGAAGAGTTTCAACATGGCAAGTGTAGGTAGGCAGCCGGATGGCATCAGTGGGTACACTGGAACCACCAGCGAGTATGGTCTTAACCCATCTAGCTCAAGTAGTGACGTTAGCAGCAGATAAATTAACCAAGATCAGCTTAGGCTAAATTATTAGAGAGAGTTTTGATTACTAATGCAATGTCCATTTTTTCTTTTCCTGATTCTCTACTAACAAATTTGAGCCTCTCTTTTAGAGGACAATCATGTTGGTTTCATTGCTAAACACAACAGCTTATTAGTGCAATGTATATATTGATTACTGGAGTACACGTTCTTCACGAGTCTGAGCTTGTAGGACAGGAAGAACGAGGTTGTCGTTCATGTCATGTGCTGTTTGGAAAACTTGACAGAGATGTCAAGCATGCGTGTAATAGACATGTCAAACATGCGATGGGCAACGTTATTTTTACAAATTACATTAAAAAAAAAAATAGACGAAGCTCAAAATTGGCCACGTGCCCATGCAGCAGATCATAAGTAGCTTCAGTCAGCAGCAACCTGTTAATGGCTTCAGCTCTCACCATTTGCATGTTAGCATGCCCTAAAACCAAGTTGTACATGAGCATCCGGTATTTCTTATGCATACTAATTGCTTGAATGATATGTTTGGTAGAACATGACAGTTATTATAGATTGCAATTAGGTTTTTCGTCCCGTATGTTACATATTGAATAAAATATATAAAATTATTTAAAAAAATATACAAAATCAAAAATGAAAAATATTATTTATAATTTTTTAATCAAAATTTTTGAATTTAATTATTTCTTATGTATTTTTCATAATTGTTCACTTAGAAAAAATAATTTATCCTTATTAATCCATGAATTATTAACTAAAAAAAAATTCAATAATTTTTTTAAAATTTTTTTAGTATTTTATAAAATTATATTGAAAAACATAAATAACAACTATTAAAAACTTACATAAAATTAAACAATTTTATTTATTTATTTAATGTTAATGAGAATATTGGTTTTTGAAAAAAATATGAATTTATTTTTTTATATTTATTTACAAAAGAATAAATAATATTAAAATAAAAAACTATATTAATTTGAATCATTGAGTGATTAAGCCTAAATAATATTTTAATTACTTAATTCAAAAATAAATAAATAAATAGTATAACTTTAGCCTTTTTTAGTAATTTGTATCGTGCTCTACCAAACAGTGTCCTGTCGCAAAGATTTTGCGCATATTCAATTGGTCATTGCGTAAACATCAATCAAACGCCACAAATATTGTTACAAGTAACAGGATAAAAATAAAATTGGAATGTGAGATATAATAATGCTCGCATTAAAAATAGAACTTCCCGAATTGCTCGCATTAAAAATAGAACTTCCCGATTCAGACTTCTTTGATTTTTTTTAGTTTTTAATCTTCCTCTCTTACCTGTGTACCCACTTTGATTACTGTGGCCTGAAATGAGACATTACGAAGTTGAAGCCAAGAAATCATCCGCCTTGATCTTTTTTCTCCTGGCCAGGCAGATGAGATACCAACCATTGCTTCCAAGGAGCATCTTCTTGCTGCTCAAGCCACGATAGAAAACAACTATCCAACAAGCAGAAGATATTGACGTACAAGAGTTGATACCGCACCGGTACAAATCGGAAATTTGCAACTTGAACAACTGGCCATATACCTCCTTCCACAATAAGAGCTGGTAGAAAGTCCCTCTTCACATCTTCCTTGATTTGAGGAACACTCTTTCCAGTTGCAAAACCCATGTAAGTGAAAAATAGAAGAAGATCCAGTGGTCCAAATATGATCCCGTCCAGTGCTACTTTAGCACCAACAAACCGTGAAGAATTTGGGCGCAATGCAATTCGTGACCTTATAAATTGGTCTAGACCTTTGTACCTGCAACAGTTTAACAAGATACAAATGAAATATGACTTACCTCAGCAGAAGAGTGCTATATGCAGTTCCATCAATTAAAATTTTTTGATAGCAGTAGTGGAGTGCTAACTCCAGGATCCATGATTTTCAAGACAAGATTTTCAAAAAATATTTTCCTTTTAAATTTGTAAATGAAAATGTACAGATGAAAATGACAGAAAACACTAACCAAAAGTGGCCAACAGGTCCAACAATTGCAAACCCAAAAAAGCTAGTGGTTGTTACTCGTTTCCAATCAATCTTTAATTCTTTCTCCTCTTCCTGACATTTGAAACAGAAATCAATTAAAAATGAGATAAGCTAAAGAACAGAAAAACGTGGGAACACATAATATGACGTATTAATAACTTTAAGGGCTCCACAAAATTTAATGTTTCTTTTAAATATGTTTCCAGCCTAGCATATCACTAGCTTCTATTCACTATGTACTTTTAATCGCAGAACAATCAATTTTCCAATTTGATGTATAAAATCACATGCAAATCAAGAATCAGGTTTATCTGAAGCTGCACCATATTTATTTTTAATGAACATATAAATAGCAGATAAAAGAAAATTGACATCATCATATTCATGAATGCAACACTATCATTAATAGCACAGCCAGAAGGGCGCACAATCACACAACCCACATATAAAAGGAGGATACAACACGATCCCAAAATAGAAAAAAGGAGCACAAGACTAGGAAATTCAGAACGTTAAGATTAGCAGACATATGAACGTAATTGAAATACCCAGATTTCAGTTCGAAAACATGAAGTTCGACTCATTCAAATATTGAGCCAATTTTTTCCTTCAGTAAACACTTCATCAAACATGAAAGAACAACTGTCCAGATCAGACTAAATACTTTGTCCCCCCTATGCCAAATGCCAAATTTCTACTAATGCCACAAATGGTCAACATCACCATATCACCCAAGGAACATAAAATCGCAGAACTATCAGGGATGGCTATTCAATCAATAAACATGAGTGAACCAAATATGATGAACAAAGACTGAAGTTTCCAGCCAGCACAACCACCATGTTTATGGGGGGCAAGGAACGACAACGTAATCTTTGCAAGGAATGAAATTTATCAAACCATTTATGAAGAGTAAGTTGGGTTTCTACAGTTTCCAATAACAAGCACATCATGGTAAACCAATTTGTGGAAAAAATTTACAAAGAACATGAATATGATGAAATTCTTAAGCTATCAATTTCCATTAACAAGGAAAATGTCTTGGTACATGGGCCTCTAAGGAGTACGGGATGATATACTCAAGAGATCCACTTGTAATATGTTAAAAGAGTATGAAGATGATGAAGAACAACAGGAATGCCTCCTCTGAGCATTAACAGATGTCCACTATTGGATACCGTCACAGGAACTAGCAGTGGTGTTGGCTAATCTACTGGGAAGGTCTGAGCATCCATCCAACATCCATGCCTCTGTCCTTGTGGAATATAACATTACAAAATAAAGGATGGAAAGCTATCTTGTGGACACAAAAGTTGTAACAGGCCATTCCTCTGTCACTTAACTTGAATTGCTACGAGAATGTCCATATAAAGGATTTGAACATTTGAACATCCTCCATCTAGCGAATGTTCACCACAGCTTAAGAGCATATATCAGAATCTAAAATTAGATAGTGATGTGATGATATATCATTCATCGTTACTCAAGACAAACTAGATAATTGTTCCCCACATTACTTTTCAAAGACATGAACAATAAATTAAGGTGGCTTCATCTTCGATGAAATGAATGCATCATGTACTAGATTGTAATGGTCAACATGAATGAAAAGTTTAACCATGGACATTAACAGAAAATATGATATTAGAAACCCTCTTTGCCCTCGGAATCACTAGAGGAACTCATTGACTTCAACCCAAGATGGGTTTCACCTGAATTGGGAACTAATTTATTTCTCAAAAACAAAAAAAAATGCAAATGCAAAACCAATAGACAGCATTATCATTTATTGCATTCATATAAAATGCCAAATCTATAGTCTGTACGCATTTCATTCCACTAATGAAGAACAATAAACAGGTAAAGAAATAAAAAAAAAACATGGCACATACCCATTTTCCTAAGACATTGAATACAGCCACACACATTGCTATCGTCAAGTGACAAAACAAATAGAAAGACAAAAACTTGAGACATGCCCATTTTCCAAAAATTCAAATACATAAAAAAAAAAAAAAAAAAAAAAAAAAATTTAAAAACACCATCGAATAAAAAAAGGGATTTTCTTGAATGATCGGTTATGCTAATAGGTACCTTAATTTGATGATATTTCTTGGCTGTATAGCGAGTGATGGACTGTGCAGCTATATCACCAGATCCCCAAATCACTCCTGAGCTAATCATTTGTGTCTTCACGGGATGCAAAGCCAAGCAATTTTGGTACCATTTCCACAACTTCAACATTTCTCCCTATATATTTTCTTTTAAAGAGAGATTTTAAAGACAAAAAAGACAGATTCTTTCTGCATGGACTATTGAATGTTCAAAAGGGTTTCTTTTGAATCTGATTTTTTAGTTATTCTCTTGTTTTTCATTCCCATGGTCTCCGGGAAAACGAGAAGTGGCTTATAATAATAACCTAGTTCTTGCATAATGTGGTTGTACTAATGTTCAAGTGGACTGCGAGTACGACTGCTTGGGAACCTTTTGATGTTGTGGAAAGTTGTACCTTTTGCCTAGGCCGAAGGCTGTATGGGCTTTTCATATAGCGGTTGATAAGAACCTCATGATAGAGTCCGAAGCAACTTTTTTTTTTTTTTTTAAGTCATGTACATATATTATTTGAGTAAGTTATAAATTAGTCCTCTGGTTTCAATAAATAAATAAATAAATTTTTTAATTTAAAAAATTAATTATTTAATCTTTTTAATCGATATTGATCATGATTAATTTTATTTTTTTAATTTATAAAATGTCTTTTTTTCATTAATTTTTAATATTTTTACTTATCTTTTATTTCTTTTCTGTTTCTTAAAACAAAAAAATCAAAATAAAAAATAAGAAAAAACTAAATAATTATTTTTTCAAAACTAAGAGGATTAATTAATTCGCTTCTCAAAATGAGAAGGAACAATTTTTAATTTACTCATATTATCTTTCGTATTTCATAAGTATCTATAGTTTATAATCAATTTGTTTAAATCAAGTCATATATTTTGATTAATAATTATGATATCATTTTTTTTATATTTTTTAAACGCATAAAATATATTAAATTTAATGTGAATATGGACTCAATCTAAGTGAATAGAGTATGAAATGATGAATAAATCTAAAATATTGAAAATATAACAAAAAAGAAAAAAGAGTATTCAAAAAGAAAAAAGAGTTAAGTATAATATACGTATGGACATAGATTAATCACACACTACTACAACAAGGATAAAGGATTAACTTGATCAAAGGAGATTTAAATAATTTCAATTTCCAAATAAAAATATATATTTTTTATTTATTACTTCTTTTTATTTTTGAAATTTTCTTCATGTCACATATGGAATAATTTTTTGACTAATTTTTCAATCAAATGGACAAGTGGCCAAAAAGACAACGTGTCATAACATGTTAATTATTTTTCATGCGGAAAAAAATTTTAAAAAAAAAAAAAAAACCAAAAATTGCCACATGTCATGACCAGAAGAATTGAAACTAATTCGAACATGATCAAACTATGAGGACTATATTATAAATCTGCCATCTTCAACCTCCATCAAACTTCAACTTCACATAGACAATTCCACAAACACCTCTCGTACGTGCTAAAATCATCCTCCAACAACCAACCTCGCCCCCCAATGCATATTCAATCTAGCTTTATGCTATTCAAGTCCTTGATTAAATCCCTTTTTACATACAATTATGGCATTAACACAGACTTTGGAGACTACCAGTTGAATGAACCTCCTGTGGGTTTATACCCACTCTTCTATCTTCATCGTATAGCTAGTTACTGTGTTTCCTACTTTGGTTTAGTTTTGAACCTTTGATCCCTTTCATTACCGAAAAAGAAAAAAAGAAGAAGATAATTTTAACTTCAGTTACTTTCATTACAATTAACTTGATGGATTTCAGCTCAGCAATCGGGCACTGCTTTAGATCTGATTTTTTTTTCCATATATCTTTTATGCAGTGGTAATCTGGGTCCAATGATGGCAAAATAATTTGCTTATGTAGCATAATGATAAGTTTTTTTTTTTTTAGCTTATGTAGCATAATGTAGCATAGTCTGTTTTATAATGAAATTGGACGTGTCCAATTTTAGAGGAAAAATCAAAATTTATAGATCAAAAAATTATATATAAGATAAAAACCTCAATCTCTCTTTATGTAATATGTGGAGTCTTCAATTTATTCTTAAGTTTCTATTTGTATTTATTTTATCTTAGAATAATATTAGTTTTTTTTACCCACGTTACGCTGCGAGTTAAATAAAATATATAAAATTATTTAAAAAATTATTTCAATTTGATAGCTTTTTTTGTTTTTTTTTTTTTTTTTTACAAGCTTGATTGTTGCAAACAAAATTTTTATAATGAAATTGGACATGTCCAATTTTAGAGGAAAAATCAAAATTTATAGATCAAAAAATTATATATTAGATAAATACCTTAATATCGCTTTATGTAATATGTGGAGTCTTCACTTTATTCTTAAGTTTCTATATGTATTTATTTTACCTTAGAATAATATTAGTTTTTTTGCCCGCGATATCATGGGTTGAATAAAATATATAAAATCATTTAAAAAAATTATTTCGAGTTTGATAGTCTATTTTATGGCGCGAATCTATAAAAATATATGAAATTAAAGATGAAAGAAATTATTTATAATTTTTTAATAAAAAATTATATTTAATTATTTCTTATTTGTGTTTTTTATAATTTTTTGTTCAAAAAAAGGATTTATCCTTGTTAATCCACGGATTATTAACTAAAAAGAAATTTTTTTGAAAAGCTTTAGTATTCATAACATTGTGTCGAAAAAAAAATAAAAATTATTAAAAGCTTACATAGAACTGAACAAATAATTTTTTTTATTTAATGTTGATGAGAATATCGATTTTTGAAAAAATATGAATTTAATTTTTGTGTATTTATTTACAAAAGAATGAATAATATTAAAATAAAAGGCTATATCAATTTGAATAATTGAGTGGTTAAGCCAAAATATAATTTTAATTATTTAATTTACAATAAGTTAATTTTAAAATATTCAAAAATAAATAAATAAATAGTAAATGCTTAGTGTAGTAGTTGCACGATTACTTTCTAAAAAAACAACGATTCAATATTTTATACTAAGTGAGTTCGTAGTTTTTAGTGTAAAACAAAAAAAATTATATAAAAAAAGAAGTTAACTTGCAATGAATCCGTTGACTAAATTTGAAGTTAATAGACTAAAATAAAAATTATTACAAATTTGATTTCGATTAATTTTGATTATATAAAGAAGAAACAAATTAATAAAACATGTGAATTCTTTTTTTTTCCTCCTTCTTAAATAATTTTTTATTTCTATGTCATGCATGAATAGTCCTTGAATACGAGTTCGACGCGTAAAGCAACCATCTTCTTTTTATTTTTCACCTTTGACTTTCAATTATTAATCAACCGATCTGAGTTTTTTTCTTGAAAAAATTAAGAAAAAATTATTTAAAATACACTTTTTATCCGAAAAAGTATTTCAAACAAATTATATATATTAACCATGCCACTTTAATTTGAAAATTATTTAAATCTATTTTTCAAAAGAAAAATAATCATGTTCTAAAATTTTAATCTAAAATCCATACATATAGAAAAATAAATCAAAATTTTCAGTAAATATAATTCTAAATTAATTGGATAAAACACATTTAAAAATCATAAAAATAATTTATCGTATAAATTATAATAATACATTTTAAAAAATAAAACACCAATGTTCTAAAATTTTATTCAAAAATTCATATATTAAAAAACCAAATTTGTTAAAGATAAAATTATATCAAAAAATTAATTTGATAAGAATTTTAATAAGAAACAAATAATTAAAAAAATAAAATTTAAACAATAAGAGTAATATAATCAAATATATATGTTCAAAATAAAATCAGATGTACGTAAAAATTTAAAAAAAAATAACGATTTATTTTTTATTTTTTTCACACCTAATTCCATGATAAAAAAAAAACATAAAAATAAATTGTAGGAACAAATAAAAAGAAAAAAAAGGCTAGGCTCGCGTGCTTGGAAGTGGTAGGCTAGTTCGACCTGATTGGGCCTGGTTGGCCTGTGCGGCCAGGACAGGTCAGTGCGCTCAGGCCTATGATTGCTGGCATGCGTGCTAGGCCAGGCTTGCTTCTCCAGGACTAGGCTGCTGGTCAGTTCAAAAACAAAAAACCTACAACTTTCGGTGAACTCAAGCTTGTTGGAATGTTCATCAAAAAATCACAGGTTGAGTTTTAGATCCCAATAAACTCAATTCTGTTGTTATTTTTTTTTCCAAACACCCCTAGATAATCGAAATAAAGTTAAAAAACAATTTTAAAAGCTTAAACATCATCTTAATGCATATTTAAAAAAAAAAAAAAACATTATCAAATCAGAAAGTTTTTCTTCTTTTTTGTCTCTAATCTACCTTCTCCAATTATTTGATGGCTTGAAACCACCATTGACAAACTCATCTCTCAAAAATAGAAAAATATAATTGAGTTTGGCCGATCAAAATGGCCAAAATAAGCTTGGTCGGTGCTCTCTCTCTTTTTCGGTTTCTCTTTTATTTCCTCCTTCCTCTATACACCAAGGATCAAAATGTATTAGTAAATGAAAATATGGATCGAAATAAAACTTTCAAAAATACCAAGGATCAAAATTGTTTCTTCTTTTTTGGCTCCGATCTACCTTCTCCAATTATTTGATGGCTTGAAACCACCATTGACAAACTCATCTCTCAAAATAGAAAAATATAATGAAGTTTGGCCGATCAAAATGACCAAATATAAGCTTGGTCGGTGCTCTCTCTCTCCTCATGTTTCTCTCTTCTTTCCTCCCTTCTCTCGTACACCAAAGATCAAAATATATTAGTAAATGAAAATATGGATCGAAATAAAACTTTCAAAAATATCGAGGATCAAAATTTTAAAAATTGTAATCTACGAGTAAAGGAACGGTGATCATTTTAAACACTCTAGTTCTTTTAGTTTTCTTTAATATAATTTTATTTTTTTAAGTACGGATCTTCGGATAAGTTTTTTTCAATAAATAATCAATTAAAAATAAAATTCATGTGTTTTATTTTTTTATTTTTTATATAATTAAAATATATTAAAATCAATTTTATCGTTGTTTTTATTGTAGTCTACCAACTTCAATATATTTCTTACAATTTAATTTTTAAAAATATTTTTTGATGTGCACTACACA